CTCCTCCAAAAACATATTACAGGAACATTTATTGAAGCGACAGCGTATGTTGGATTTCCAGGATCCTGGTGAATGAAAGAGCCCGGCTTTGATTTAAACCAGAGGTAGGCAACCTTGGCTCTTTTATGACTCGTGGACTTCAACTCCCAGAATTCCTGAGCCAGCCATGCGGAGGGGAAAGGGAGAGGTTTCCAAGCTGAGCCATGCTGGCTCAGGAATTCTGGGAGTTGAAGTCCATGAGTCATAAAAGAGCCAAGTTTGCCTACCCCTGGTTTAAACCAAAATAGAAGCCGAGGTTTCTAGCAACAGCTTGTCAAGACTTTGAGGAGTGGAACCCTTAATCAGGGAATGCAGGGAAGGGCTAATTCGATGAGTTGATCAGCCCTCGACCGACAATCACAATTGAACCCACACTTTCCATAGCTAAGCAAGATAGTTGTTAAGTGGGTTGTGCCCCCATTTTATGACCTTGCCACAGCGGTTAAGTGAATTACTGCAGTTGTTAAGTTAATCACACGGTTGTTAAGTGAATCTGGCTCCCCCCCCCAATTAGTTCGACTTCTTAGGAGGTCGCAAAAGGGGATCAAGCAACCCCCAGGGATGCTGCGACCGTCATAACTACGAGCCAGTTGCAGAGTGTCTGAATTTTGATCACGTGAGCACGAGGAGGCTGCAACGGTCGCAGGGGTGAAAAGCGGCCATGGATGCATTTTTCAGTGCCGTTGTAACTTTGAACGGCCACTAAGCAAATGGCTGTGAATTCCTGAAGTGAAGCATCTAAGTAACTTTTAAAAAAAGATGGTTTGCTTGACTTGTTTGGAAAGAGAAAACATGGGTTGGATTCTAATTTATAGATAACCTAAGGCTTGACGTCTACATTGATCTACATTGATCCCTTGTTTTAATGTGGCCACCCATTTCTTGATTTGTTATTCTATGTTCTATCTTGGTTTTTATGGTTAATAAATGGATAAAGCAGAACCTTTACAACAGGACTTTCCCCAAAGTTAGAGACTAAGCATTAGATCTCTTCAGAGTAACCATCAAACAAGACGAACCCTTACAAACACCATACGTACTCCTCATTTTTCTCTGCCACTTCATTTCATTATACAGATCCTCAGTCTGCTGAAAAAAGTCGTTTACTTTGCTTCCTTGCTCGTCTCTTTCTGTGGTATTGAACACCACAGCATTTTGATTCGTGAGTGAGGAATTCACAAATTCACAAGTCTTGGACCACTTGTAACGGTCCGGATGACATCCCATGGAGAACAAAAATAAATATTGACTCCAGTCTATGGCTAGGTTTTTGTTTTAAGAATGCTCTTCATTTCTGTGCATTTGTGGGTGTGGGTGTGTTTCTACCCAATCACCATAGCATCTTTAAATGACAATGTTGTGGCAGCTGTTATTATATTCATCACAAGGAAAATGTGGAAATTACCCCTTTGTCGCTGCAGAAAAAAAGGGATCAACTTATAAGCTGTGTCTCATCAGGCAGTAGCACCTGGCCAGCCCTGTCTGTGCCTGGAAGCTAAATAGGGCTGGGCTCACTTGGGAAGGTTCAAGAGAAAATTCTAGAGCTGTAGGCCAGACTGGAATGTCGAAAACAAGTGCCTGTGACGGCAGTGGCCAACTCCTCTTGTCTTGTTGCCAAAACAAGTACACAAATGTCTCCAAGGACCCACCAGGAGCCGAGCTCTACTGGAGTGTAATTAACAGGCTGTCTGGCCTAGCCCAGGGGTAGGCAACCTTGGCTCTTTTATGACTCGTGGACTTCAACTCCCAGAATTCCTGGAGCCAGCCATGCTGAGGGGAAAGGGGGAGGTTTCCAAGTTGAGCCATGCTGGCTCAGGAATTCTGGGAGTTGAAGTCCACGAGTCATGAGGGGGCCATAGTTCCCCCATGCTGGCTCAGGAATTCTGGGAGTTGAAGTCTACCCATCTCCGAGTGGCCAAGGTTGAAAAATACAGGCCTAGGCCAGGGATAGGCAACCTTGGCTCTTTTATGACTGGTGGACTTCAACTCCCAGAATTCCTGAGCCAGCCATGCTGAGGGGAAAGGGAGAGGTTTCCAAGCTGAGCCATGCTGGCTCAGGAATTCTGGGAGCTGAAGTCCACGAGTCATGAGGGGGCCATAGTTCCCCCATGCTGACTCAGGAATTCTGGGAGTTGAAGTCCATGAGTCATAAAAGAACCCAGGTTGCCTACTCCTGGCCTAGCCGGATAGTTGAAGCTGTGGTTTCTGGATTGTCAAGACGGTGTCCAGAGTAAGGATGATCCTGTAATTTGTTTCTCTGGATCATTGTTTCTCAACCTTGACAATTTTAAGGCATGTGGACTTCAACTCCCAGAATTCCACAGCCAGCAATGCTGGCTGTGGAATTCTGGGAGTTGAAGTCCACATGCCTTAAAATTGTCGAGGTTGAGAAACACTGCTCTGGATGGACTGATAACCCCAAGAGTTGTTCCTGGATCTATCCTGGGAAGTATTGTTGTATGATTCTTATCAGAAAACTGCAGTAACAAAAAGGTGCAACAAGGCTGAACGTGGTTGCATCAAGGAAGTGTTACTGTGCCAAAGTCTGAAAATGGATTTAGGCTGGCCTATGTATGCTATGAGTGTGTTGGGATGCTGTCTTGCCAAGCTGGATCTTGGCCTCAATGAGAGCCGGGAGCTTTTTCCTTGCCAATGGCTTCCCTTGGCTTTTGAGTGGCCTGTCCAGATCAGGTTCCAGAAAAGTAGCAAGTGAGGCCTGCAATGAAAACTTTAAACTTCAACCTGAGTCTCTCTAGTCCTGCAACAGTCTAGATGCCAGAATGCAGTTCTCTAGTCAGGAGAGAGACTGGCAGTAATAAAGCAGTAATCAGAATAGACCTGGAAGGGACCGTGGAGGTCATCTAGTCCAACCCCCTGCTCAAGCAGGAGCCCCTATGCCAGTGGTGGCAAACCTATGGCACGGGTGCCAGAGGCGGCACTCAGAGCCCTCTCTGTGGGCACGCGCTCCGTCACCCCAGTCCTAGGCCTTTGGTTTTATAAAACCTTTTCGCTTTAGGCCTCCACCGCTGTGTACAAAAAAAAAGGTTCAATCAATCAGTCAATTTCAACTTTTCGCCGAGGAAAAAAAAGATCTTGCAAAGTTGGAATTGATTGATTGAATTTTTTAATCCCACCCAGTCTGCCGTTACCACCGCAGCCACGCCCAGCCAATGGGCCACACCCAGCCAATGGGCCACACCCACCCGGCACCCGACGATGCATAAGTGGGTTTTGGGCTGCAGTTTGGGCATTCGGTACCTAAAAGGTTCGCCATCACTGCCCTGTGCCATTTCAGACAGGTGGCTTTCCAGTCTCTTCTTGACAGCCTCTAGTGAGGGAGCATCCACAATGTCTTAAGGCAAGTTGTCATATATCTTATTTATTTATCTCAGAATCATAGAATCACAGGGCTGGAAGGGACCTTGGAGGTCTTCTAGTCCAACCCCCTGCTCAAGCAGGAGACCCTATATCATTTCAGACAAATGGCTGTCCAGTCTCTTCTTAAAAACTTCCAGTGTTGGAGCATTCACCGCTTCTGGAGGCAGGTTGTTCCACTGGTTAATTGTTCTAACTGTCAGGAAGTTTCTCCTTAGTTCTAGGTTGCTTCTCTCCTTGATTAGTTTCCATCCGTTGCTTCTTGTCCTGCCTTCAGGCGCTTTGGAAAATAGTTTGATTCCCTCTTCTTTGTGGCAACCCCTGAGATATTGGAATACTGCTATCATGTCCCCCCTCATCCTTCTCTTCATAAAACTAGACATACCCAATTCCAGCATCAGTTCCTTATATGTTTGAGCCTCCAGTTCTCTGATCATCTTTGTTGCTCTTCTCTGTACTCTTTCTAGAGTCTCAACATCTTTTTTACATCGTGGTGACCAAAACTGGATGCCGTATTCCAAGTGTGGCCTTACCAAGGCATTGTAAAGTGGTATTAACACTTCACATGATCTTGATTCTATCCTTCTGTTAATACAGCCCAGGACTGTGTTAGCTTTTTTGGCAGCTGCAGCATACGGCTGGCTCCTATTTAAGTGATTGTCCACTTACTACTATTGATCACCCTTTATGATCTTCTGACAAGCAAAGTCAGTGGGGAAGCCAGATTCACTTAACAACCCTGTTCCTAACTTACCAAGTTGCAGTGTTTCACTTAACAACTGTGGCAAGAAAGGTCATAAAATGGGGCAAAATTCACTTAACAAATTGTCTCACTTAGCAACAGAAACTTTTGGCTCCGTTGTGGTCGTTAATTGAGGATTTAACTCTTTCTTGGCTGGCGACCTGAGGCGGGGGTGGTGGAGATGCCTTTGTGTGCGCATGCACAAATGGGGCCCCGTGCGCACAAACGGGCTGCGATGGTGCAGACGACGCAATGCTGCAATGTTAGTGCCTTGGAGTGGGGGGGAGTGTGCGCTCACAGCGATGATAGCCTAGGCTAGCGCGAGTGTGGGGGTGCCCCTAGGCTAGCGCGAATGGGGGGGGTGTGCGCTTGCAGTGATGCTAGCACCCGCACAAAACCCGCGGCATCATTAGCAGCAGCATGACGCCACGATGCTAGCGCAAGTGGGGAGGGTTGCAAGCGCGCACACACTTATGCCCTGGCCAGCCACTCACACAGCCCAGTGGCCAACAGCCCACATCCCGGTAGTGGACCACAGCCCACAGTTTGGGGACCCCTGTTTTAAATGCTTTGGACATCAGCCCCAGGAGCACTGCCAGCAGCAAGGGAAGGCACCAGTTCTATCTCTGGCTTAAGGCAGTTCCCTAGTTGCTGTCCAATTTCTAATATTTTTCTCCCGTGGCTGCTATTTTTAAGAAGGCCACCCGTGCTTAATGAATATGGTATTTCCCGTGCTGCTTGTAATTTCATTTAGAAGGATTGTGTGACTCTTAACTGTAAGCAGACCTGTAGATTGTGTTTTTTGTTTTTTTTTGCTGTGGCTGACTTTTCTTTGCTTCCTTAGGCTCTGATTCCTCTGGCAAACGTGGCCATGATAGATTACACCCTGGAATTCCTCACTGCAACCGGGGTGGAGGAAACCTTCGTCTTTTGCTGCTGGAAGTCCGCAGAGATCAAGGAGCATTTACAGTAAGAGCAGCCATTTTCGCCGTCTCTTCCAGGAAGGGGCTCCTTCCCTTTTTATGCCTTTGGTCTCTCGGCGTTTGAGGGGGCAGGAGGACAGAGGGATGGCGGTTGTCAGATAGACGTAACCGAGCAAGACCAATAATGGAGAATGTCTGTTGCTCAGGGTTGAATTGAGGGGACCTTGGTGCTCTCTGAGCTTGGTGGTTTTCTTGCAGACATTTCATGACCCAACTGAGCAACGCCATCAGTGCTAGAAGGTTTGTGGAGTGGAGGAGGAGGGGAGAGAGGAAGACGAGGAGGGGGAGAACTGTGGGGTCCTTGGTGCTCTCTGAGCTTGTTTCCTTGCAGGCCTATCATGACCCAACTAGGGAACATCATCAGTGCTAGTCTAGGTTTGGGTAACGAAATAGCTGCAAGAAAATAACCAAGCGCAGTGAGTGACATAGCCTGTTGGGATAGGCATCAGAAAGAGGCAGACGGACATCTGGATACGGACATACTATAATTATACAGGTAGTCCTCGACCTAAAATCATTTGTTTAGTGACTGTTTGAAGTTACAAGGGCCTTGTGGGTCACATAGGATTTGTCTTCACTCTGTGCAACTGTCCATCCGTTCCTCCCTAGATCCTTCCAGCGTAGGAGACCTTTAACTTTGGAATAGATCCACCATCCTTCTTTCCCAATATCAGAGTTTCTTCTCACCATTAAGGGAAGTTTTCACCTTTAGACACAGTCTGCTCCGTTGCCACTCATTCGCCATTTCTAGACTTGTTCTGTGGAACAGTTGAGAACAAGCCCCTGCTCAATCTGCCCTACTTTGTTTAGTTTAAATATAGCCAGCTTTTTAGAACTCTCAAATTTTCATCTTTGATATCCTGCTTTAAATGCACTCCAATCTGTTAAAATTGAGACCCTTGGACCTTGAGGTTATTTATTTATTTATTTATTTATACCTCACCATTATTATTTCTACAAATAACTCATGGCGACCTTCTACTCCAAGAGGGTCTCCAAACTTGGCCCTTTTATGACTCATGGACTTCAACTCCCAGAATTCCTGAGCCAGCCATGCTGAGGGGAAAGGGAGAGGTTTCCAAGCTGAGCCATGCTGGCTGAGGAATTCTGGGAGTTGAAGTCCACAAGTCATAAAAAGAGCCAAGGTTGCCTACCCTTGGTATAGGGGGAAGAATTCTAAATAGCTATGGAATCACCTCTGAAACCATAATTTTTGGTAACTTGTAAAGTTATTTCATACTGTTTTTTTTCCCTCAGCAGCTATTAGAGTTGGCTTTGAAGCTCATCCACCCCTGTGTCAGTATTAATATTTCAAATTCTGTCTCCTACGTGATGTCATTCGCAGGTAGTCCTCAACTTAAGAACCACAACCGAGCCCAAAAGTTCTGTTGTTCAGTGAGACATTTAAGTGAGTTTTGCCCCATTTTGTGACTCTGCTTGCCACACTCGTTAAGCGAATCGCTGCCGTTGATATGTTGCTAACCCGGTTGTTAAGTGAATCTGGCTTCCCCCATTGACTTGGCTTGCAGAAGGTCGCCAAAGGGGATCACAACGACCCCGGGGGACACAGCCACGGTCATAAATACGAATCAGTGGCCAAGCGTCTGAATTTTGAGCACATGACCATGGAGGATGCTGCAAAACTCGTAACTGTGAAAAACGGTCAAAAGCCGTATTTTTTCAGTGCCGTTGTAACTTTGAACAGTAATTAAAAGAAGCATTAAGTCGAGGGCTGCCTGTATATTTATATACTCATCAAAAAAAGCCAACAAGGCATTTTTCAGGGCGCTCTTTTTTACAGAGGTTCTCATTCAGTTGTTTCTGTCTCTGGTTTATTTTCTCCTCAGAAACTCTAAGTGGTGCCATCCGACATCGCCTAACATTGTGCGGTTTGTCATCTCAGACCTGTATCGTTCCCTCGGCGACGTGTTGCGCGAAGTTGACATCAAGTGTCTTGTTCGTTCTGACTTTATCCTGGTCTCTGGGGACGTGGTGTCCAATATTAATATTTCTACCGCTTTACAGGAACACAGGTGGGTATTCAGGAGAAAGGGACAAGCAGCCCTCGACTTAACGGCTGCAACGGAGCCCAACATTTCTGTCGCTAAGTGTTGTTGAGTGGATTTTGCCCCATTCTGCGACCGTTGTTAAGTGAATCACTGCAGTTGTCCAGTTAGCAGCACAGTCGTTCAGCGAATCTGGCTTCCCCATTGACTTGGCTCGCATAAAAAGGGGCCAAAAGGGGACCGTACGAAATTCAGAGGCTTGGCCTTCGACTCATCTTTACGACGTCATAAAGATGAGTCGGTTGCCAAGCTGCAACTGTCTGTAAATATGAGTCAGTGGCCAAGCCTCTGAATTTCAATCATATGACCATGGACAGGGGTAGGCAACCTTGGCTCTTTTATGACTCGTGGACTTCAACTCCCAGAATTCCTGAGCCAGCATGGCTCAGCTTGGAAACCTCTCCCTTTCCCCTCAGCATGGCTGGCTCAGGAATTCTGGGAGTTGAAGTCCACAAGTCATGAAGGGGCCATAGTTCCCCCATGCTGGCTCAGGAATTCTGGGAGTTGAAGTCCACGAGTCATAAAAGAGCCAAGATTGCCTACCCCTGACCATGGCAATGCCGCAATGGCTGTAAATGTGAAAAAAAAGGTCATAAATCACTTTTTTCAGTCCCGTTGTAACGACAAACGGCACTGGATGAACTGTTGTAAGTCGAGGACTATCTCTATAGGGCCCTTCTGGCAGGAATGATGCGCTGCTATCTTATCTGTGAGTGTATTTTATTATTATTATTATTTTTTAAAAAATCTCCCTCTCTCCTGGTACAGGACACGGCGTAAGCTGGAGAAGAATGTGTCTGTAATGACAATGATATTTCAAGAGTGTTCGCCAGGACATCGGGCCCGATGTCCGGAGGACGATATTATCCTGGTTATGGACAGCGCTACGAAACGCGTGCTCCACTATCAGAGGACGCAAGGACTGAAGCACTTCGGTTTTCCCATGGTGTGTGAACCAGAAAGCTAGAGAATAAGCAGCCAGTTTTGCTATGAGTTTAAGACAGGGGTCTTCAAACTTGGCCCTTTTATGACTTGTGGATTTCAACTCCCAGAATTCCTCAGCCAGGCACGCATGCCTGGCTGAGGAATTCTGGGAGTTGAAGTCCACAAGACATAAAAGGGCCAAGTTTGAAGACCCCTGGTTTAAGAGGACGCACGTCTTAAAGCTGACAAGGATGAGAAAAAAAAACATATTAACATACATGGACTTCAATGCCCAGAATTCCCCAGCTAGCAAAGCTGGGAATTGAAGTCCACCGCTCTGCGCACGGTCACTCAAGCTCTCGTCACCTCCCGCCTGGACTACTGCAATGCCCTCTACATGGGGCTCCCTTTGAGGAGCACCCGGAGACTTCAACTGGTCCAGAATGCGGCCGCGCGGGCGGTGTTGGGAGGGACTCGTCGCTCCCATGTAACACCGCTCCTGCGCGAGCTGCACTGGTTACCAGTGATCTTC